TTTTTTTTTTTTTTTTTTTTTTGAGTACGTATAGATAGTTTTCACTACTATATCTTAATAATAATATGGATTTAAATATATAAATATTCTCTAGGATCACATTAGAAGGCTTCGGATAACGGCAGCTTGGGCACTGTCATCGGTCGACTCCAAAAGTGCCGATAAACGGTCGCTCAGATCATCGACCTCTCTATGTAAGTTCCTAATGTAGTTACAAGTCTCTTGAAGCACCTTTTGAGCCGAAACCTATAGAACATTTATTAGTTAGTAATTATATATACATTTTAAATAACAAGTGTGACGATCATATTATATATTTAATCGCGGTCAAAGAGGATAATACGATAGAGATTATTAAATCAATGAGAACAATTATATATATTAAAAAAGAAACAAAAATAAGTACATTTTTTGTATGAAAATTGCTTAACTTCGTCTAGAGTAAAAATAATAATCCATCTATGGTAACAAACATTTGAAGAAAAAAAAAAAAAAAATGCTTAATGGTATATATGTTGTTGTAACAAAAAAGTGGAAAATGTCACTTTAATTTTCACACATTCATTTGGAGAAGGTGACTTATTTTAGTTTCAATGGAAGTTTTTAACCTTAGTAGCCCATTTTAAGGTAAGTTTTCAAAACATGTTCTCTAGCTAGGTTTTAAAATATGCTACTCCAATTCTTTCTTTTTTTTTAAAAAAAAAAAAAAGGTTGATTAACTAATAAAATTTGTTACCTGATTGGACCGGATGTTTCGGATCTCAGGTACGAGGCGCTGGAGCTGGCTGACGAGATCGACTATTTGGTCGTCGCTGATCCTCGACGACCCACCCGACTGCCTCCCACGTGATCTTCGGCTAGACATGTTAGTTACTAACTTGAATTTATCACCTTAAAAATCAAAATTTTACTATGTGTGGTTTTCACAAAAGGCCTTGTGGAAAGTGCTTGTTGATTGTGTCTTGGATTTCAAGAGCAATGAGGGATTTTGATGTGAAGTAAATAATAAAAGGCCTTTTATAGTACAACAAGTGTCACTATTCTGAAAATCTCTGTCAGAAATATTTTCTCATAGAAAGAATTTTTTTTTTAAAAAAAAAAAATCTTTCTATATGGGCCACTTAATTTTATGTATGTGTTCCCTAATGATGTATTTATTGTAATTAACTTATATCATTTGGAAAAAAAAAAAAAAACTAATAAATGCATTCAAAAATAATGTTCACATGTAATATTAGCTATCTTATTTTCCTCTTTTTTATTGGTTTTGTTAATTTTCTTTTCTTTGAGTACATATGTTTGAGCCACATTGTTATGGGAAAAAGATTGAGGATTGTAATTGGAGGATTGAGTTGTATTTTGATATATAAAGCCAATTTTAATAAAATATTATTAACACTTTTTGTCACAATTGGGTTTGTATTTAGGGTTAAGGTTTTAACATACTTATGAAAATTGGATTGAACTTGTTAGTCTGACCGATAAAACCAGGAAACGCGAATCTAATAGATCCATAGTGACAACAATTAACTCGTATTCACTGTTGTAACTATATCTATTGTCAGTATATCTACAATTGTTGTCACTATATCTACAACAATTGTAGATATAGTGACAATAATTGTAGATATAGTGACAGTAGAAATAGTGACAACATAGTGACAAAAAAAATATTCACTAGAACTCTATTTTCTTGTAGTATATTGTCAAATAACATGTTACAAATAGGTGGTTGATGCTGACCGATCGAGTTGGTGAAAACCAATTAGAACCGATAAGAAATCCGTCATTCAAACTTTTCCCCTTTTTTTTCTAGTTCTAATTTATTTAAATAATTTTTTGACATAAAGATATGTTTATAAATATGTGGGTCATGTATCAATTACTATGTCATTGGTTTAGACATTTGAGTTTTAACTTATTTATATATTAAAAATATTAATAAGTTTTACACTAATTCAACTACGATCAGTGAATCATTGAATCTGTAGTTTCACATATTCGGTGAAAAATCATAATCTTAAGTTTAGTGTTAACTTTCAAAAAATCTCTATTTCAAGATCGTAATAGTTTATAATTTGGGTGTATCCCTCAAATATTTAAGCATTTTTGTCAAATTTGATCATCACTCGTGCAAAATTTGTTTCAAAAATGAAAGAAAAATTGTGTGTGGGAGATATAAATATTGTGCCTTAATCACATTAGTATGACATTGTGGACTACGTGTTGACTACTGAACTTGTATCCTTTGATTAATCAACTTTAAATACTGAATCAAGATCCCTATATGTCATTTTCAATTAAAGAATTGATGAAGATTCGTGCCGGCTGTTGCTAAATTAACGACAATGAGTAAGGCACGAGGTTATCACAAATTATAGAGTGCGGATAGCTCAACGGTTGGCGAGTCGATTCATCGTACTTTTCGAATAAAAGTGCATAAGCTAAGATTATAATATCGTAAGATTGTTTTTTTGCCCAAATTAAGAGTAAAATATATACTAAGAGAAAAAAAAAAAGTATATCCATTCGAAGCATGAGAGTCTGTCAATTAAGCTCAACACGTTTTGAATTGATATATATGGAGGGATATTCAACATATATAATTTATTGCAATTTTAGCGGGTATGCATTTATATTTGTCTCATTTCTCTATTTTCTGAATTATATCTTACCAGACAAATTGATATTTATTATTTACTCTCATTTATTAAATTCTCTATTTATTTATAATATTGTAAAAGTTAATAGTTTTTGTATCCATGTTCAGCTTTTTGGATGTGATTTATTAAAATAATTATCTTTTGGCAATAGTCATTCGATGTCTCTATACAAATTTAATATTAATATAATCTATCTTTACAAAAAAAAAAAACAAA